ATACTTATACATGTGTTTTCCGATGGTCTTAGGCGACCCCTGTGAAAGGGTCGTCCGACCCCCAGGTTGAGAACCACTGCTTTAAGTGAAATAACTTCCTCTTTTCCCTCTTGTGGGCAGATTGAGCGCGCCTACAGTAATGAAAGAAGTTGGAAATGCATTGAGATTTCTGACCTGAGAGTGCAGTGTAATGGCTCCATTTTCCATTCCCTAGCTAGCTTAGGCTTGAACTTGTTGAAATTGTGGTGGGACACCTGGCCAATCTTGAGAACCTAAAACCAAATTGACATTCAGCATCAGTGCGAACAAGCTAGCACCTTGTTCTTCTCTCATTAGTGAAAAAGCCCCCTACGCGATGGGTGAGACCTTCTCCCAGCTGGGCTCGCAGGAGGACGAAAACAGGTCGATCCTACCCCGTGATTCAGCCAGCCACGGTAGCAGCGAGTATGTTTCTTCCTGTGCCCCTGGTGAAAGGGCTGCGAATGCCAGCTTTGTGACTTGTCCCACCTGCCAGGGCAATAAGGAGATCCCTCGAGGTGAGTGGCTCAAGGCTCTGGAAATAGCCTGCAATCCAGGAAAAGCTCTTGGTGGTCAGCTGGCCTGTGGCCAGGTGCCTCTGAGACTATCCTTGAATGGTGTTGGGTCTCCCAGCTCTTGGTCCCCCAGTGGAGGGCTGGCCAGGGAGAGGCTAACCCCTCCTGCCCTGGCTGTGCTCCCCAGCCCCTGGGGTTCCCAGCCCCTCTGCTCCCTTAGCTGCAGTGTGCCTGTGCAGTAGGATTCAGGAAGTTACCAATGGCTTCTCCAAAGAAGCTGGGCTCTGAGGAAGAAATGCCAGAGATTCTTCACATGTGTTTATGAAAATCTCGCTTTCATTCTAGCGATGACCAACTTGAGAACATAGCCCAGTGCTCCCAGTTCTGCTGGGGGGCCGAGGTGGCATGCTTCTGACGTTGCTTCCGGGGGTGGAGGGGTGCTTCTGGCAGACTGGCACAGGAAACATTCGTCATGGACACCTCTTGGCCCTCCCTCTCACTTTCTCTCTACAGAACTAGAGAAGCAGCTGGTGGCCCTCATTCCCTATGGGGACCAGAGGCTGAAGCCCAGGCACACGTAAGCTCCTCTTCCGACCTCTCAGCTCCACAGGCGGTTCCCTGGGGCTGTTTCTCTTTGTCTCCCCCGTTCTGCCTGCCCCCCCAAACGCCTGAGCCTCACTGGGCTCATATGTAGTAGCCCCGTTTCTGAGGGTTTTCCTGATTCCAGAAGCCCAGGGCATAGCTACCTACAGCCACTTGGTGTCCTTCTGAGCACCACTGCCTCCAAGACAC